TATTCTTCTACGTCTAGCTTGCACCCTACGCATGAATGTAACTAAGATCAATATGATAGATAGTGTAGCCCCAGAGACAATGCTCACTATCATTTCTTCATCAACATATTCCCCATCCATCTACAATATCCATATTAAATCAATTATCAGTTTGAATGAAAAATAAAGTAGTACACATGTGACAAATATTTATAATGTACTATATGATCTGAAGATTAAACTGCAGTATTGAGAACCAAGTTTTTGCTATAAAATCAAAACAATTACTAAGTAATCTTATCTAAAAAGCTATCTTTATATTCATGACTTGAACCAATTTCATAGCTGGAACCAATAAGTAATGAGATCACAATAATCATTTTCTTCCTAAATAGAGGATTTAACATAAAGATTAGAGCACTAAAATCATAGTCAAAATAGAAGATTTGAAGCAGTATTATAAAATCAAGATTTTGAAGAGCATGAGGCACTATACGCAGTTGTTTTGAACATGTCTTTGTCGAAGATGAGATAGTGAGCCCATGGTCTGCACATACTTAGGATATAACAAATCTATTCTATATAACGAAAGAGGAGTACACGCGGAACTAGTATATATAATGCTTGGCATATATAGGAAAATTAATAAATTATATAATTTAAGAAGTGCTCAAAACTAATAAGTTACCACTAAACGGATAACACACCATTCTTCCATAGCCCATGCATTCTCGTAAGTTCTAACGACACAGACATTGGAGATCACACATCCTGCATCCATATTGAAGTGCATCACTTCTGTTTGTATAACCCACACATTATCACGGACACGAGCTACCCCTATGCATAAATATGGTGTCATTTTCGGTGGTAACCTATGACATGATCGGCTTCAACATGCTTTAAATGTTATTACAGATTTGTAAATTCTTCCTCGTAGATGAAATCTTAATCATGAAAACAACTCGCTACAAATAACAAAAATAAAAGGTGACATACTGACATCTGGTCTATAGTGAATATAAACATGTCTCTCTTTCAGCACTGCAAACATCTACATCAATAGCGCTCACTAGAATCTCAATAGTTCCCTAGAAATATTTTCTTACCAGCATCTCATACATGTCAACAAACAAATAACCAATTCAAATTAAAAAACAACCAAAATCCTAAAATTAACAGGAATACATAATATAACTCATCCTTAGAACCCCCAGTTAGTTGTTGCCGATGAAATGTATAAATATGTACCCAAACAGCATCAGGGAAAAGCTGCAGTTTTAGGTTGGAAGCAAATTATACTTGAGAAAGTAATATTGCTACATTCTAATACATTAAAAGCAATAATTTTTACATGAATTTCAGAATAATTAAAACTTATTAAGCAGAATAATGCATGATTAGTTGGTCCACTCTGGAATTTAAAACAGAAAAAGTTTTCAATGCAAATAACTATTGTGGTTATTAAAAAGAGGTAGCTTTTGCATATGAATGTAAAAACTTACTATGAAAAAAATAAAGATAATAATAAGAAAAAACTAAAATTGTTAAGAAAATTACCTTCAGAGATTTTTTAAAGTAGCTCGATTAGGTTTCCAGAAGGATTAGCCCCAAATCAGTTAGATCTTAGAGAGATTAAGCAATCAAGAAGGCAAAGCAATGAATCGACCTTTAAAATAACCCAAATAGAAGGCCGCCAAACTTATAACCCAGATTTGAAGATTCTTTACCAGTGAAATAGCCAATTATTTAGCCCAAACAAAGCTTGAGTTTCTATTGAAGTAGCAAGAGAAGATTGACAGTAGACGAGGGATCAATATCAGGTAGGATCAATGGAGGGATCAACTGACATATTTTCCCTCAGTTTTTTTGGCGGAGAGAGGCGGTGGAAGGCACGAGAGAGGGGGGAAAGAAAATGAAGAAGAAGAGGAAAGGAGAGAGAGATAAGGCGGTGATAATAACAATCACCTTTTGTTCCCATTGTTTTCCAGTCGTTCCCGCGGTTTTTAGCTGGCAAAAATATTATTAACATTGTCCTTCTCCATCCCATTTCTGAGCTTAAAAAACAAAAATGGGCTATTCCATTTTTTTGACGTGGCAGATGATTTCCAACAAATTTTTCCTTAAATATGAGGTTGAACCAAACTAGAGAATAGAAAAACTACATGGGTTTAGATTTCCTACTGTCACTTGGAAACCGATTTCAGCCTATTTTTTTGCCAACCGAACAACCCCTTATTCTCAACTGCGACCACTACTTTTTCATCACATGTTATACTGCACATAACGCATATGTTTAGAACATATAAGCCAAGGGTGCTCTTTAATAAAGCTAAGCATCATAGAAGACATTATGCATGACATTTTACTTTTTCCTTTTTTTTCTTTTCTTTTTTGACT